TATGTCTGTGGATTTTGATGTGAGAGGACAACAGGGCATGGACTTTTTCAATAGAGGAAGTGTTATGTATTATATGTTATTTTGGCCAGAAGCAATGGTTTAAAGATAAAACTTACAAATGTGCAGCTTTTCATAATATGTTAATTGATAGACAGGAGTTGAGTGGATTATCATAATGCTTTTTTTTTTATCAGCTGTTTGGGCTCTCATTTTGACATTGCCATTTCAGAGGATCCATTTGTAAGCAAATGATGTAATGCTAAGTTTCTCCAAATCTGTTCTGATGAAGAAATACCCTCAGGCCATCCAAGATGTAGATGAGTTTTAAGTACATTTTCAGCTAACATTCAATTTTGGCTGAACTACTCCTTTAAAACAGGTTTATAGTGCAAATAAAAGTTTACCATGTTAAGGAAAATGATGTCTGCTTATTTTCAGATGGAGATAGAAAAAATAAAGAAGATTGTACAATCAACATGAAATAAAATCTGGCATCCTGAACTGGACTAATGGCTCCACTGTCGCATCACGAGTGGAAAGTGACCTCCAGATGGAGGGACGGATATCGTTCACATCATCTTTACACTCACTGACTTACTCCATGATTTGTAAGATTCAAATATTTTGCACATGATGAGGTTTTTTCTAGGTTTAGAAAAGTGTAATTATGACCGATGTATATGTTTGTTTTCCTCTTTGTTTTTTTTGTTTTTTTTTGCCAACAAAAATGATCGAGGCCTTACTATTACTACTGTGCTGGATATGCAGTCTGTGCACTTATTGAGATGTGCAGTGGATTATGCATTCGATACTACTGAGTTACTGAGTCTGTTGGGGGATTATGTTGTTTCCTTGTTTTTTACGATGGGTTAGTTTTAAAAAAATTTAAAAAAAAGATATAAAGATATTAGCAATATTCTGTCTATATTAGCCTCTTTAGATGATTATCAAATGTATGACATACTCTTGTTTCCATAGTGATGATGTATTCTGATGATGTTGAAAAGGGAGAACATTTATTTTTGTTTTTCTCTAACATTCCTATCCAGGGTAACACTATCGTGCCTGTTAAGATTTTTTACAAGTGTTAATACTGGGAGCTCTCATATTATATAAATATATATAGATATATATATGTGTATACTTAGATCTACAGCATGATATATTTTTTATGGTCTATTGATTGTGACATCATAAAAATGTACTGGGTTTGTGTATCCGTGTTTGGTTTAAAACATTCACACTTCCCTAGAAAATAAAAACTGGCTTCAACAAGCAGCACTTCACCGTAAGAATGGCAAGAAATCTATTTCACAATTTAAGCTGCACAGAGTGCTGGTGGGTTTGTTCTGCATTTATGCCCCCTTGAACGTACAAAAATGAAATGTGCCCATTCCGCAGGCCTCTTAACCCTTAATCTGAAAATCTATTTTTAAAAGCATTCCTGCCCAAGGATTGTTTGTTTGTCTCTGTGTGAGAGTAGAGTTGCTGATGCAGTAGGATGACAGGTTGACCCCTAAAGCAATAAAAAGGCATGTCTTTTTGGTTTCCATTTTTAAATGTCGGATGAGTATGTTCATGTTCCTTTGCAGCAACTTTAAAGGATTTCCTGTGAAAGTACATTGGAAATTAGTCATCTCTGTTGTCTGAAATTTGGTAGAACACATTCCATGTTATTGTCTTAAGATCTGTTGTGCACATTCAACATCTATCAAAAGGATTTTGTTTACATGATTACAAAGTCAATTGCATGAGCTGAGATTTTTTCCCCCAAACTAAATAAATATGTTTATTTACAGAGATTGTTCTGGTCTCTGTGATTTTTTTTTCTTTTTTTTTTGGTGTTCAGAATTTTTATATAATATTTTTCCTCCCTGGATAATCATAAACCGTTTACTTTTTGGAGTTTGCACAATTTTTATGTTCTTGAAGTCTCTTATGCTCCCCCAGGCTGTATTTATTTGCTAAAAATTACAGTAAAATCGTTGGCGCCGAAAGCCTTGTGGGCAGCGAGTCGACATGTAGCACTGTTGCTCTTCGGGTGTCCCATGTTTGTGTTCCGGCTCGTGGACCTTTCCCGATCCCGTCCCCTCTCTTTGTCCCACTTCGCTTCCTGTCTAACTACTGTCCTGTCAAATAAAGACAAAAATGCCACACAAAAAAACTGTAAACTCAGTAATATTGTAAAATTTTATTACAATTTAAAATAACTATTTATTTATATATATATATAGTTTAAATTAATTTTTGTTTCTCATTCATCTACACTCCATTCCTCATACTGACAAAGTGAAAACTGAATTTTAGAAATTTTCTAAATTTACTAAACATGAAAAACTGAAATATCACATTTACATAAGTATTCAGATCCTTTGCAACAACACTTGAAATTTAGCTCAGGTGCCTCCCATTTCTTTTGATCACTGCTGAGATGTTTCTACACCTTGATTGGAGTCCACCTGTGGTTAATTAAATTGATCGGACATGATTTGGAAAGACACACACCTCTCAAAAGCACAGCTGACAATGCAAATCAGAGCAAAAACCAAGCCAAGAAGTCAAAGGAACTGCCCGCAGAGTTCAGAAACAGGATTGTATCGAGGCACAGATCTGGGGAAGGCTACAAAAAATTTCTGCTGCATTGAAGGTTCCCAGGAGCACGGTGGCTTCCATAATTTTCAAATGGAAGAAGTTTGGCACAACTGGGACTCTTCCTAGAGCTGGCCAAACTGACCAAGAACCTGATGGTCACTCTAGTTGAGCTCCATGATCATATATGCAGATTGGAGAAACCTACAGAAGGACAAACATCACTGCAACACTCCACCGATCCGGGCTTTATGGCGTTGTGGCCAAACTCAATCCTCTCCTCAGTGAAGTCACATGAAAACACACTTGGAATTTGCAAAACAGCACCTAAAGGACCCTCAGACTGCAGGAACAAGATCATCTGGTCTGATGAACGTCTATGAAT